TTTCAAAACTTTTTATAATAATTTTGATTTTTTTTTTTTGGATTTGTGGTTTATTTAAAAAAAAATTATTTAAAAAACGGTATTATTGTGAAAAAAACAAATAATTTATTATTTGATTAACAAAACAATCAAGGAGCATGATGGCGTGGAAGCGGAGTACAATGTACAACTATAAACGTGCATTTATTTCCAATAATTTATTCGGTCTGACACATGAGTAGTTTTTTTTTTTTGACTACTCAATAAAATTTGTACGTCACGTGCTCGCTTGACCTTTGTGTTTTTCATTCCTAATGACCCCCACCAAAATTTCGCAAACACTTGCAATATAATATTTAACAGTTTAATATGAATGGCTTCTAAAATGTATGTAATACGCACAAACCTACTTAACATTACTAAAAATACGCACTACCGGTTATACAACTTAATTTTCAAGATTATATTTCACTCATTACTAATATAATCGTAATCAGATTTAAAATAGAAAAACAACATTAACTTTTAATTTACGTTATAATTAAATGCTTTATTCAGCACTAGCCAACCAAAACAACTATGTTATATATACATATATTATACTAATTATTCTAAAATAATTAAATAACCATGCAAGATTGCATTTACATAGTTTTAAGTTACACGGAGCATGTTATAATAAGCGGCACCGGTTTCAGTCAAAACTCATTTTAACCGATTATTCGGGTAATTCAAATTAAACAACTAATAATATAATACTTGGGAACTGACGGTTAAAAAAGAAATGTACATAATATAAATATAAATAATGTACGTCCAAATTAAAAAAAATCATAGCTAATACATAGTTAAACAACAACGGTGTTATATAATAAATTCAATTAAACCCATTCGGGAATAGTTTTACACCAGATAATATCGACAGTGCAATGTATTTAATATATATATATATATATGTAGCGTTTAAATTGAATTTGCCAAACAAGAATCATCGGTTCTTATCAGTTTCGGGCAGGGAATAGGTTTCCGCCCGTTATAACACATGCAAAAAAACGAGTTTAAATATTTTAATTTTTTTTTTCAAAAATATTTTTAATGTACGAGAGCGAAAACTACAAATTTACTATATTAAAACGGTATTCGCACACGTTATAATAGTATTTAATGTATATATATATATATATATGGTTTTTTTTTTTTGTTAACCTTTAAATACTAGCGTTAGTTTTATATTTTGTAAATGTCGTTTTCCCCACCAAAACACACCACGCTCAAACAAGAATGCACCTTTTACCCATTGTCGCAAAACGACCCAATGTCAATGTGCAACTTACTATCTTCATCCCCCAACCCACATACAACAACAACAACAGGCCTATCCAGAATCAACTTCTAGTCCACCGTCGCCGTACCTAACCGTACCTTTTTTGTCGGGTCAACACAAGGGATGTTTTGAGACGCGGCGGTGGTGGTGTAGACGAAGTAAAGGCGGGGGCGAGATGGCGGCTGTATAGTACCGGCTGCTGCTGCTGCTGCTGCTTCGCAAAATAACAACAAAAATACGCATAGGGTAGTACTTAGTTTTGTGCGCAGGGTAAGAAACCAGTTTATCATTTTTGACCCTGACCAAGAAAGATAAATCGTTATTTTTCCTACGCATTTCGGACCACGGCACTCTTCCTGCACACGCTGACGGTTATCGAGTATTACAGGGCAGCTGTTATTGTTACTATATATATATATTACTTTTTGCCACCGATAACAATACAGACGGCGGCGGCGGACATTACCGTTAACACATTTCGATAAAATCTCAGACACGCGAACGCGACATTGAGCACCTATTTATTTTCCATGAAAACGATACAAGGTCAGAAATAATTTTGTTATTTTTTTTTTTTTGTTATTACCTACGCGTCCGCCGTGCAAACAACGCCGATAATATTAATGCACGTTTCGGTCGAAGGGCTGCAAAACGCAAAAACGCCGGTGGAAAATTATTAATAACGACAACAATAAATAATACTCGGTATCGAATTTTCAAGTTCGGAGAATACCGTTTTCGGTGTTTTTCGACGTTAGTTAATTTATTCAATAATAAACAAACGGGAAAAAATAAATATATATATATAATAATATATACACCGTCGGGGTGTCGGCGGCGGATGGATGCTGGTTAAAAAATAATAATAATTGAAACCTCTCTCCTCTGCCGCGAGCCAAGTAATAACGGGAAAGCCGTGGAGATCAGTCTTTCGTTTTCCAAATTTAATTTAATTTGAAAGGGCCTGTTTAAGCCGAACGCGAATGGAGGCGAATATGAGAGAAACAGAGAGAATAATAAACTTCACTGGCAGGCACACACACACACACACACACATTAAAAAACAGCTTTCAAGTCGAACTACAAAGTATCCATGTTTTACACTACTACAGTCAAGAACAATAATATAAGAAATACACTTCTTTCTGCTGCACATTGTTGTACCTACTGCGGGTTAAAACGCGCTATTTCAGGCGTGCTTCCAGGAAGCCCGAAGGTTGGCGCCGAGAATCTTAAATTTCATCAAAACGTCGCCAATAGCTCCGAAAACCAGACAACAGAGGTGAACGCGATCCGTTTTTTGCCTGGCAGAAAATGTATTTTTTCCCCTTCAAACTGACATATTTTTTATCTAAAATAATTTGATTTACCAATGCTTTTGGCGAATAATTCGAATATAACAACATTATTTTGTGCTTACCAGCAGCATTCGGCGGCTGTCACTATTCACCCTTACCACAGAATATCACTATCATCAATCGCAATACCAAACGCACGGTCGGGGTGTAAGCAACAAGTTGTACACCACGCTAGTAGCACAATATTTATTCGTTATTATTTCTCTGTGAAGAAAATAAACATAAAAACAAACCCGGGGAGGAAAAAAGTCCACAATTTCACAGATTCCTAATAAACGTGTTCAATAGGACCAAAACGAAAATTTGTAATTCCAAAGTCTTTAGTTAAATGGTAATAAAATAATAAAATACAAAAGAATACCCTTCACCGCAAAATATTTTATAATATTCTTAATTGAGATGGGCTTCTTAACAACACTAATAAATTCGAGCCATTTATGTTATTATAAACAAAAAACCACATTGTTAATGCAAAATGTTCGTTAAAGCAAAAAATAATAATGTTCTTTAATTTTTATTATTTTATTACACAACTATATATATATATTCCACAAGTGTTTCTCGGGTTATTTCTAGAACAGTTTTCAATTTGCTAAAATGCATTCCATTAGTGAATCGAAATTACTTTAACTCATTACATTATGTGCTAATTATTTTATTATTAATAATTAACAAAACACATGTACATAATCTAGCCGAGCAGACAAAATTCTAAGGGTAAATCAACTAAAATGTTGTACTATATTTATATTTATAAATATATTTTTGTATAATCTAATAATATATTGTTAGTTTAACTAGGTATAATAGAAATTTTTGTTTAAACTACGTGCTCTCTATATATGTAACCATTTTTTTCTCTACCACTTCAATTTTCATTGGGCAGTTACAGTCAAATTTTCTATAAAACTAGACTATTAAACATTTGTTATACAACGAAAAAGTACACCCACTTGTTAGATGTGAACAATACATTTGACAGTTAAAAACTAGTTGTAGAATAGTAATTAACTAATTTTTTACTAAATTGTATTATTGAATGTTACAGTTAGATATATATATATAAATATTTTCTAAATATAAGATCTACTATGTAATACTGAAGAAAAAAAAATAACTGATAAAAAATAGTCTAAATCCTAACAGTACATAAAATTAAAAAGGTATTGCAAACCATTAGCTATCACTTATCAACAATAAACATAAAAATTAATTATTTTGTTATTCAATCCAGAACTTATCATTAAACTATTGAATTGAGTTTAATTTTTTGTTTATTTTAACGGCAAATATGTATAACACATATTTATGATATTTAATAATTACTAATTTTACAAAATTATGTTTACTTTTAAAACTAACATTAATTATTAGTTTTATTTTGCTTAAAATAAAACAATAACATCCAACTTACCTATTTGATTCATTAAAAAAAGTACAAACTTATCCTTTCAAATGAACGCATCAATCAAACAATAGAATAGTACAACTCAAATAGACAAAATCATCTATTAATATTCTACATATTCAATTAAGTGTTTCTGCATTATACTTAAGAAGTTTGAATAAACATCGCCTAATAATGATAATTTATTGTTCATTGTAAATTCTAACAGGTAATGTTTTAATAATGCTTAACTCTTATCAACAGTAATGAACGAAAATAAATACTTGCGTTCTTCTAACAAGAATAATATTAATGTTTTATAAAAAAATCAATCTAATTTTTTTTTTTTTTACTAACACTTAAACTAATTCAAAAACATTTTTCAGTTTTTCTAAACGATACTTAACGTTACAGAAAAACAAATAATATTTCACAATAATTTTCCTATACGACTACTCCGATTCTATAATCTAAGGTCACAAGTATCAGCTCACTAATCAATTTAACACTTATTGTGATTAATAATAAATATTTTTCAATAAAATGATAAATGTACTTGGATACCTACACATACAAAAACACCCACCTTACAATTGAAAAGAATAATGACAAAAACAAATTTATCCCAGGATCCATATAAATTGTATACCTTCATATCTCGCTCAGCACACTCAACATTGGAACAATAAATACACAAAAGATAAGAAAATATTTAACATCAATAGTTTTTCTAGAGGTTTACTGAACATCACACTGTTTATATGTTATTACGGGATTTGAGACTGTCAATAATTTATCTTAACAAACCTAATGGGTGTGTTGACAGCCGAGAACAAACGGACAATGTGTGTTATTCGAATATTAATAACTGTTATCTACAAACCACTAGTCAATAGTATCCAGAATGGTTTAAACTGAAATATAATATTATATAATATAAATTTGTACTCACCAGCATTGCCGACAGTGAACATGTGCAGCCATAGCAAGAATATGTGTACGAACGGGGTAGTCGCCATAGAAGAGGCACATCGGAGCGACTTCTTCTTGACAATCGACCGGGTTCACAACACAAGAAAATCCGTTTTATTAAAACACTCCCATGGGATTTTCACGGATAAATTTGTATTTTCGTTTTTAAGGCACCAATTTTATGGCCCGTGAAAAAATATTTTCCAAGCGGTACCGGGCTGCCGTACCGGTCCGCATTAACAACGACACTTTAGGACGCACTTTACACCGACGAGAGAAATTCAATATAACTGTTGATAATATTTTTCGGATCACAGGTTTTTTTCTTAGCGGTCGAGGCAAACGTGATGGACGTTTTTTCAAAAATCGGCTAGACTACAAAAATCATTTCCAACAAACTGGCGGCCACGGTCGTACTTGCGGCCGTCGTCCGGCTCACGGCAATATCCGAAACGGGGAAACGGGTTAAGAGAGTATGTCGAAAAAAATTTAGAAAATCAAAAAAAAATATATCGCGGCACCGAAACGAGTAACTTAGCCGCAAAACGTGTAAACAAAAACAAGTATACAATAACAATAATAGTAATATCAACCGAATATTGGTGTTCCGACGACGGCCGATGCGCGCGCACACTCATACACTGGCGGCTGATCCGAACTGTGAAGGCAACATTATTATTGTCACACATACACCATAATAATATAACCGTACAATATCATGTGCGCGCACTCACACCGCTGCGAGCACACGGCGCAAATACGCCGCATGAGAAAACATGTTATCACTCAACGCTGCACGGTGTGTGTGATAAGGCGTTACCGTTTGCCGTGGCGCCATCTACCGGTGGCCAACGCGAAACAACGATGGAACGGACGTGCACAGAAATCCAAAAGCACAAAGCGCGTTTTTTTCCCTACTATTATACGAGTAAATGAATTTTACTCGGTCCTTGAATTATTATTATCGTAAACGGTTGTCGTTGACATTGGCAAACTTCTTTTTTACAAAAAAAAAATATATACCATCGGATAATTATTGGGAAGTGTTGGTTTGGGGCGCGCGGATCAGCGTGAAATTTCTTGAAAAAATATCATATAGTAAGTATTTGTTTGTCAGTTTTGAAAGATATGCTATATAAACTACCACTTGTATACCTAAATGTGAATTATTTTTAATTTATTATTATTATCGTTATCATCATCAAGCTCAGGGCCCAACGCTGCCATCATAAAATGATGGTTTAATTCTTATTATTTTTTTATGCTCTTTTATGTTAACGTTTGTGGTATTAGCATTAGTTGCATTGCCTACTAAAATCAAATGTTTTTTTGTATAACTTAAAAATATCAATGTTCAAATTGTCGTATTACTTGTATGCACTTATTTTTTTTTTCATCTATAAAAATTATGTCATTCGATTGATTAGTATATTATGCTGTGTTGTATTGGCAACTCAAATTAATGGACAGCTCGCCTTATATTATTTTGTTGATAAAGTTGTTTATTTATTTATTATATATATTGGCCCATCAGCAATATGTTAATTATCCTACTATACATTTGTTTCGTATATTTTGGTAAACAAGGTAAAAAAATAGACCTCTTCTCCTGACCCTCTTACCACTAATTAATTTATTATAAAAAACACAAGAAGGCGAATGAGCCAATATTATCTCTATTTCGGTGTATAATATTCTAGCATATTTTCAATTGCTTGCTTAATCATTTAAGCTCATACGTTTTTAGTTAGCTTTATTTTTTTAATGCGCGTTTTCTATTTCTTTTGTAATCTTTATATTGTAATCTTTGAGTATTGTAAAAAACACAATATTGAACAAATTTTGTCCTGATATTTTTTTTTGTTTACGAAAAAATATCTTTGTAAATAATCCATTATAGTCTTTGTAACACGGCACTAAATATCACTTTCTTATGACTGAGCAACGTTTTCCGTTTCCGGTTTCAGTGCAGAATTAAGTTTTAAAATAATGTTTTTTTTTGTGTGTCCGGACAATAATACTTCTATAAGTTGCAAGAAATTGTACGCAAAAGCTACAAGACCGATAAATTAAAAATGTCACTCCTTCCCTTTCAAAATCGAGAATGTAACTACCTATAAAAGTGTTCACATTTTTTTACTACATAATTTTACACATAAAAGCGTAGTCTTCGAAATTGATTGATATCACATTCAGTTCAAGTAGTTTTTAAAAGCTTGTGACCACAGAGCTAGCTTTTATTAGAAATAAATCTCCAAAGTCAGGTGAACAAAGTCCAAAGTGGTGACAAAATAAGAAAGTTTGCGAGGAAACTTCGTGATTTTATCGCCTTCTCGACTCTGCCAAAGAAATTGAATACTATGAAGAAAACTATTACCTACTCGTCGCAATACATACAAGTTGTACATTAAGTGCTCGGTTTTATTTGAAATTTTACTATTCGAACTGTTCCTCGAGTCTGAAAAAAAAAAAGAATGTTTGCGTTGAATTAATAATAATTACCGGTAGGCAGTACATTGTAATTGAGTATGCATATGTTTGTATCATGACATTAGCATGAGCAGCAACGGGTAGTCTCCATTTGTGTTGCTATCGAGACTCCAGGTAAACATTATTTTATAATTATTATTAAACCGCTCGCTTTTACCTGTCGCTTTTAATAATAAATTACTGCGGAACAGACTAAACAATTCGGTAACGCGCTTAGGCCGATCGTTTTTGTCTTTGGACTTGTCTAAGCGATTTACAACTAGGTACTCAAAAGCCAGACGTTATCCGTTGAAAAAACAACGGGTTTTACTATGTTATATGTTTTTTACATATATTTTGTAGACACGATTTTTTTCACCGATTATATAAAACTTCGAGTTGCTGTATCAGAAAGTGCCAAAATGAAAAAAAAAACTCATATTATCTTTTTGTTTTCAGGAATCTTTGAATTCCATTGCGTTGCTGAATATCTAAAAAACTATCCCGAAATTAGCATCGCAACGTTGAAATATGATTATTTTATCTACGAATTAAAACAAAAACACTATTAGGCGTAGAAAATTAAAAAAAACACTCGAGTGGTGTTTAATTTTGAAATATTACCGATACGGTTATCTTAATCAAATTTTGAAATGTTTAATAACAGCCGTGAGTAATTTGTTTAATATCGGTTTTACAGAGAAAAAAAATAATGCGCAAAATCAACAGCAAATAATAATGCTATCGTAAAACGTTTAAACGCCATACTGTAATAATATATTCGTATAAATAATATTTATTTATGAGCTATGTGAAATGACGTCGCAATATAACGTTCAACATTAATTTTGTATACTAATTCATTTTTTTTTTAATAAAAACGTTAAGGGGATTGTATGCGGTCTGTTCTTAAGGATTTTTGTATAGGCAATATTTAAGAAAAAAAGTGGTTTTAATCAATTTCGACCATGTCCCCGCTTACCGGTTAATTTGTATAAGCTTCGAGGTATTGTTTTTTAATTGATATAATTTTTTCCATTTTGGTTATTTTAGACAAATTGAGCCAGACACAATTTCGACTACACAGGATGATGGTTCAATTTCAATTATTCTGTAAAGCGATCCGAGTGCATAAACGCAATAACTCAATCGTTTAACACGAACACAATAGGGTAGCGTTTTATCTTTAAAAGAATCTTAAATTGTTAAAGGAACTGTAAGTAAAGTTTTCACTTGTTCAAAACTTCTGTAACTATCAAAATATGAAAATGGTTTTATGAAAAAAAACTCCTACATCGCTCAACATGCTCTTTACTTTGCCTGGAAAATAATAGAAAACAAACGAATCTAATATCCGTTTACGATTAAAAATGATATAAAAAATACTACACCTACACAGGCCGTTTTCGACAAATATCTGTGCATAATATATTGTTATGTTTCTGTTATTTATTTTTCAAACAGCCCCAAAAGAAACAAGTGCGAAGGTAAAGCTGAAATACTTTCAAAAATCGTAGCGAAACACGATACGTGTAGTGTTAATAAAATATAAAAACAAAATAAACGGAGGGGTGTTATATTGTAATACTAAAGAAGTATATTGCATACAAAGAAGAGTACATCATAAATCGCTGGTACCTATGGAAAATAATTTCACTCACAGCTGTATTGTTTGTGTACCTACATTTCTGGAGTGCGCAATTAAGTACATGAGCCAAGGCAAAGGGACCCCGGCTAAAACGCGTTCTTTAAATTCCTTTCTTATATTTACACACCGGTCGCGCAGTTCTATACAGCAGACGTTTATTAAAAATTACAACTGCAAATTTAATAACAACGCGCGAGCAGTGTGAATTAAATATAAATAAAAAAAAATAATAATAATGAGAATAAGACTCATGAACGTACAGTAGCGGAAAATGTATAAATTCATGAGTAGTGGCGAAAGCGAAAATAGAATAATTATTATATTTATCCGTTGCTTGTGGGAAAATATGCCGCACACTCAAATAAACAAGAGTGCAAATTATGGATAAAATAAAAAAAATAAAAAATCACTAACCGAACAGCTGAAATTACATTTGCATTTATAATATCCCACTGCGCAATTTTAATATGTAAATAAAATCCTATAAATAGACACACCCAACGCTAAGCGTATATATTTTTTATTTTATACAAAAAATCATGTTTTCAACGCTTTACCGACGTTTGATCAAAAGCAACAGCTGACGACGTTAACGCGCGGTAAAATGTACTTATCGTTTTTGCGGTTTTTCTTTTAAAAATACCCAAACAATCCGTCTTTTCATTTTACGATCAATGCAATATTAATAATATAATAATGTATTCACCGATTTCAGTCGTCGTACCGCTTCTTTTATTATTATTTAACACTAGTCATTTAAAATGCAAAAATAATATTTTTAAACCATAATATATATATACCTATACAACGATGTATTGATAAAATTAAAAGGAAAAATGAAAAAAGGTGAAACTTTAAAAAAAAAAAAAACCTGTTGGCCTGTGTACCTACCCGCGTGTTACAACAACTTTTTAATATACCTTAGTTTTTTGTTTGATTTAATCTATTTGTTTTCCTTGTCCCATCGTCAAGTCAAAAATACACCTTCATAAAGTCAGCAGCACAACTTTAAAAGACATAACACGAGAAAATACGGTATATTTTTAACTCTGATTACAATTATTCTGGCCCCATTCTTTTTTTAGCAGCTAATTTAATAAAAAAAAAGCCCTGTGAATACTTGTTTTGTACTTTATTTCGTGGGCACGGTAATTCCTCGGCAATATTACATAGGTATACTATATTATATAATAACTAATATACTGTACAACTGTATTATTAAGTGTACAGCGTCCTCTATATATTGATAGGCTTACACATCAATATGTCATCGATTAGCCATATTATTTTCAATAGTGCCAAAAACTTACTTCAGGTAGTTCAATTGTTCAGGTGCCGTAAGTGCTTATTTTTTTTAGTAAGTATATCGTTCCTATCACTATGCCAATTATTTATTAATTGTCAAAATTTACCTACAATTTATTTGGAACTTTGTGAACAATGTTTGACCGTATTCCGTGTCTTAACATAGGTAGGTACCCTACTCTCTCTCTGCATCGACGTTCGACGCAAAGAGTTTCCTGGAAAAAGA